TTGGGCACCCAGAATGTTACGGGCTGTGCCATGATTACTAGGGACCCAGCAATGGAACACAAATTTGACAACCTACCATGTAACAGCGCATAATGGAGTATGCTTGCGTTTCCTGTGCTTTCTTGACATGACTTTCATAGGGTTTGACACGCTAAATCTAGGGCTTGCAGAACCGGTGCCGCATGCTACAGGCCAATGCCAGCTTCTGAAGGCTCGTGGGGGCGAAAGGAAGGAATTCTCGCATCTAATCATGGTATCCGGATTCTGGCATGTTGCTCTGGCTTCGATGATGCAGATGGGCCGTCGTGCCTGACTGTGCATCCTGGCGACTGCACCAGAGGCCTGCTGCTTCCGCTTGTGGTGGTGCCAGGGCCCTGGAACCCCTCGTCACTTTCACCATGGAAAGTGTTGAGAGGTGAGACATGCGTGGTCCACCATCATCTCCAGAAAGGACGAACAAATTCCTACTACGGTAGCATTTGTTCCCTTGCAGTTCTTGAGTGCACCTGCTAGCTGACAATGTCACGAAGGTTGGATCGGTTGTTGGATTGATGGCCAGAGCCGCTCGAGTAGAGGATCCATGCGCTAACTTCTCAAACCCCATTGCTTGGACACAGCATGACACAGCCTGCACGGCCACCTCACAGGCTTGGACTCCAAGCTGCCAGGCATGGGTGCTGGGTTTCACAGGTCGAAGCTGGGGGTGGAAATCCAGCTTGGATGAGTTTGACTGTGTTATGGTGCAAACTTGCTGGGTCTCGCATTCCTGTATTGATGCCATCTGTCAATCCAGGTGAGATCAGGTAAGTAAAGTAAAAGGGGACAGCTCGCGGGCATCTGCTGTGCAGGCGCAACATCAAGAGGTGAAACATCATGTTGGAAGCAACATCGGACCACTGACTGGGGCATACGCAGCGTTACGCATCGTGTGCCTGAATTGAAATATAGCTAAGGAATTGCAGTTCAGAACCGTTCTCTGCAGTCGGTGCGTCTTGTTTCAGAAGCTTCCCCTCAGGGCTCGACATAGTATCGCCACCGCCCGATTCTACCGGCGTGCAGGCATGGCTGGGGGTTGGAACAGTTTAGACTTGCAAGTGCTCTGCTGCATGTGAGTTCCTTTTAGCAACAGCCCGACCTGTCTTCACTTTAGCCCTTCTGAGGAGTTTATCAATTAAACAAGTCATGTTGCACGACATTCGGTGGCCTACCCTGAAGCTTCAGAGCATACGAGGGCTAGTGCCGCGGCGTCAGGCCGTGGACCCGGTCCCAGTTAACAGGCTGCCGCTGCCCGAGGACTGGCGCAGCGTCCTCCAGTTCCAGGTCGTTGTCTTGCTGTCCTCAAGTTAAAGGGCCGTCCTTACGGGGAGCTTAAAAACTACTTGTAGGGTCGTTTGTGAGGTTTTGAGGCCAGTCCTTCTTATGAACAAGTTGATGATTCACCAGGGATAGGGAGTCTCGTTGAGGCGTCTCAATGCCTGGAAGCGGCGTGGTGCCAAAAAGCCAAATGTCCCTTCAGCTGGGTCCAATTAGCTTGGGGCCTATGGAATCGATGCCAGCCTTCTGTTCCCCGCTTGATCACTTCGTTTGCTAGAGACCTCGATCCATGAACCTTGAGAGATCGGATGAAGCTGGCAGGTGCCCTGATGACAAGGCCTCAGTCACATCGGTCACACCCTGAGCCATCCCAAGCTAGACCCCCCGCCCTTGACCCCCCGATTACAAGGTTCCTAACCAATTAGATGATGAGATAGGACGGGAATTTCTGAAAAATACACTATGAGCCTGTATTCCGACAAAATCCGTCCGAGGGCCCGCATACTGTTCGCATACATCATCAAGGGTCCCTCAAAGTACCATTCTCAAAGAACCACCCCAGTTTGGCACACGTCCACACAAGCAGCTCCTGACCTGCAGAGCCTTCATTGGAACATGAACAAGCAACCCAGGGTTCAACATGTGCTGTCAAGATTACACAGAAGCCTTTCTCTGGGCAGGCTCAGCTCTTCCATGGCTTTGCTGAGGCATTGCGCCACCGGGCGCCGACGCCTCAAGAGCTTTGAACTTCAAAATCCTAATCCCCAGTGATGCCGCCCGCGTAGCAGCGGAAGTAGCAGTTTGTGGCTGCAAAGGCCCGAGGTGGCGCCTGCGGCCCCATCTCCCAAGGCTGGGGGCAGCTTTGGGCAAGACAGTGCAGAAGTAGCGGGATTTTCTGAGTTGATGAGATGTAAAATCTGGGTGCGTGTCGGCATTGTTGGCTCTTCTTAAATCGCAAAAATGAGTGCGCATTCACACACCGGAACCCGAAAAGGGACCCTGAAGCTAGCATCTTCTCGCAACGCTCAGGCAAGCAGCGCCTCGCCAGTGCGTGTACGCGATACCTCGCCGAGTGCAAAGTCACTGGACAAGGTTGTCCTGACATCCCGGAAGTCACAGGAACTGCAGCAATAGGTCCTTGCGGTGTTGATGCATGGAGTGGACTTGATGCTGAGAAACAGCTCCTCTTGACTTTTTGCAGTCGTTGATTGCAACGCAAAAGTCATCAATGAGCTTCTTCTTTTGGACCTCGCCAGCACTGTTGGTGCAGCTCTGTCCAAGGTCCGCCAAAGACGACGGACCTGCCCAATCTGCGACCAGTTGCTCAGAGCAGATTCGGTTTCACGGGTGTGTGAGATGATAGGTTTCCCACAGAGGAGTTATTTCTTAAGGATCTGTTCACTTCCCATAAATGCACAGCTTGACTTTTTCAAAGCTGCTGCCTTGGCATTAAAAAATCCTGAATTATAGGGGGGTCGCAGTTTTTTTGTAAATACCAGTCCTTGGTTTGTTCCTGGATTTGAGGCACCCCCGGCATGGACTGGAGGAGAACCAGCATTGCCTTTCGCCTTCCGTCAGGTTCTCCTACAGCGTTTACTGATCCTTGTGAGGACTCCCAAGCTAGCTCCCTTGATCTGTGCATGTCCATGCTCCACACTCTGCAAGGTATCAAGGACAGATCGTTCGGGCATGGGAAATACTTCCAAGCAAGAGCCACAAAGGCTTGTCTTGAGTGGCGCTTTTCGTTGTGGACTTCTAGATTTGTGATTTCAGATCAATTAACCTTTTTGTCTCAAGCCTGGCAAGAACACCGGGTACGGTTACCGGTTACTGTAAGGACGAGTATTGAGGGTTGCTGCAGGTTCCGCCGCTTCCTTTGTGCCCGCAACGCCGCAGAAGGCCTGAACATTGTGAGAGCTGTACAGCTAGGCTGTAAGAGGATGTCTTCAGATTGCGGTTTCGTCTTGGACTCTGTTTAGTGTGTTTTCTTGACCGCATAGTTGGTTCAACTCTGTAGACTTCAGCCTCATTCGTGCTGCGCGCTGTCCGAAACCCAGGTTCGCCGACGCTCTCCGGCCCCAAAGGCCGTGGCAGACCAAGAAGAACTCAGAATTATGGGCCGTTCTTCTGTGGACTTGAGAACAAAGATCTAATCGCTATGGCATCTTGGGGGGAACCTTAGCTCACAGCGTTGCGGATCCTTTGGGTGTTGCACAGCAAGCACCGGCAGGCTTTGAATATTAGCGAACTGTGACTCCGAGCCACTCTCTTTTTGACTTGCAGAGATCTGCCGGTCGCAGTTGCTGTAATTTGTGCGCACATGGGCGATAATGCTGGCACCTCACACAAGGCTTTTCAATTCCAAATGGACAGTCCTGTGCATGATCGTGTGTTGAACCTCCTTGCACAGTAACGAGGGCTCGGGGTTCCAGCCGATGGAGTCACTGGAGAGAGCGTCCAGGAACAACTTCAGTAGTTCCACGTAGCCTCTCACTTTGAAGGCCGGCTCGGTGGGCTCCAAACCTGCGCTGAAGCGGCCGAGCAGCCGCCCAAGGCCCCAAACTCAGAGTGCCAGGACGGCAGCTGGCGGGAAGGACATAGGCCGTAGGATATGCTGCTTCGTAGATGGCCTGTGCAACTGCAGCTGATCTTGATTCTGAAGTTAGGCTCAGAGATCGCAAGCCATATTCCCTTGCAGGTTACGAGCCAGCTCTGCAGAGCCTCCGCCAGGACGGGATTGCGCGCAAGACTTAGGTGCTTGATGTTAGATCTGCAATGGTCCAAAGCTCGGGTACTGAATGCTGTAGATTTCGACTGGCTTGCGCTTGGCAGGCAGGGCCTCGAGCAAAGCCTCGAGCAAAGCTTCCGAGACCAGCCAGGGAAGGACTGCGGGGTGGGTCTCGTCTCGGGGCTCATGGTGGGTACAGCGTCGTCCAGAACCCATGCCTGATCATGCCTGGTCAAAAAGGTACAGCTCTGTCTTCTTGTAGACGGGCCGGGTGGCCTTCTGGAACAGGAAAGCTGTTTCTCCTCAACCGGCTCGCTGGAAGCTCTGAGCAGGGCCACCGCAGAAGAAAACCGTGGATTCGGGTAAAGAATTATCCCTTTGTGTTGAGCTGGATGTGAAGCTTTCTTCTGGAGACGTGGTACCCTAGCCCTTTGTGACGGCTTTGTGGCTGAAGCCACTGCAGAGTTCAAAACAGCATCCCGTATTGTGGATCCAATGATGATCCCAAACCTAGCCAGCTGCCAAAGAGAGCCCCAAGGGTGCTAGGCCCGGTCAAGGAGGCCTAAGCCCTAGGCTTTAAGCGGAGGAAGAGCAAGTCTTGAGCAGGTGGACCCTCTATGTTACGCAACTGCCTCCTTTCCCGCCAGCATCGAGAGCCGCAGCCGACATCTCAAGAAAAGACTGGAGTGCAGTTTCTGGAGTTACAGGCTTGAGGATGTACAGTCTCAAGCTTGTAAGGCACTGCAGTGACCTTGGGGGTTCAGTTCAGGTTCCAAGATGTTCAGATCTCTGTCTGCGTGTCACTCAGTCTTTCCATCTCTGTCTCTCTCATCCTCTTACTATCTCACTGCGTGTTCAACTTCTGTAAGAACATGCAGAGCAATACCAATGCAGATGCTTTCAATAGCCTGCAAAGCACTTACAAGAGCCATCTTGAAGTCTTCAAATGCACTGGGAGGCATCGCTGGGAGTTTCGTGCCACCATGCTTTTCCTGGTCGTTTGCTGCTTGGAGATCAGGCCTGGCTCCGACATCCCTGAGGGAAACTATTTGAGATTTGCAGGAACATATAGGAACGTGGTGACGCGGTGTCAGGGATGTTGTGGTCCTGGAGATTTTTTCCATGTGCAGCTGAGTCATTGACCATGTTTGATATCCTGAACCACTTGCAGAGACTTGGGCCTTCCGCTGTTGGAATTCTCCTGAATGTTTTGAAAAATCATGAGAGTAGAGGGTTTCGCTTCTATGGATGCGGTGCTCGCCACAGTGACCTGATCTTCGCCGTGGACTCTGTCAGCGCGATCGTGGCGCAGGTGAACGACCTCTTCCTTGCGTCTCTACCTCAGCTTTTTCCCAGAAAACCCAGTATCTGCTTTGTAGAGGTTCCTTGCGTTGGATCTAAGCTTTCTTGGCACATTTTGCTAGCGGTTTGGGCGTGGTTTCAAATTTGCAGACCGAGCCTCCAGGTACTCTTCGGCTGTCTTCGCAATGTTGGGCTTGCGAGCAACCTTCTTCATCATTGCGGCGCCCTCAGGTCTACGTTGTACAGCATGAGATCAGTCTCACTTTCCCGAGAAGGTCTCAGAAAGCAGCAGCTTCGGACTTACAAATGTTTAATAGTGGGGTTGTTCAAGATTCCTATTCCGAGTTTGGCCCTTGGGCCGTGCTTGCGCGAAGCTTACGCGAACTCAACTGGTCCCGCTAAAATCTTGTTGCCCGTGTACCGCCTTGGCACGATGCTTGAGCAGCACTTGTGCGTACCTTGCGCGCACTTGTAGCAGTTCTTGCCTAAATTCGATCTTATCATCCTGGCAGCAGCATGTTACTGTATGAAACAGTGTATCAGGATGTGCTGGTCCACATGTTTGAGTTCCTGAAGTATGGTGTGGCCGCCGCACCTCGGCTGTTGTCCAAACAATCAGAAAGTGCCTTCCGGAATTTCAAGGCTGAGGTTGAAGCTTGAGGGCCCTTTAGGGCTTAGGTTAGGGTATGCAGCTGGAGGCTCCCCCATAGGGTTCCCAAGGATAGGGTTCCCAAGGACCCCCTTTTCTTTTCAAAATCCCTCGCTCCAATTGTACGTGCCGCGTACCTGCCGCTAAGAAGATGCCAGTCGGGCTGGCCAAGTCCAGTGCTACAACTCAACACCATGCTCTTGCTGCAATGCGCCATTGTGCATGGATGTGCATGGATAGGTGAACTTTGATAAAGGGTCGATATAGTCAACCCGATTCCAGCACTGAGCAAGCACTCTCCAGGTTCTGATCTTCATCGGGGTGAAACTCATCTTGGCCCATCACTACACCATCGAACCAGCAGCGGGCTCAGGAAGCAATGGCCCGAACTTGTACAGAAATGGTGATGCAAGGGCTGACCACCCCACATCAATATAGGGAAGGGTACGCGCGAGCTTAGCAGTAGTTTAGTTCTGCCCATCAGATTAGGTTCCTGCAAGAATTTTGCAAAGTGGATCTGCAGGCTCCAGTCAACAATTTACCTACGGGACTTGTTGCTTGTACGAAGTCCTGCCAATTCAGACGGTCGCGAGTGAAGGTTTTGTTCCCTGAGCATGTCTGCTGGCACCCCTCACTCAGCACACCGTCGTCCTGGTGCTCATTGGCTGCATCGGAGCGTCCATGCTCGCCTCAGTGCTGAAGGCGCTTCAGTGAGCAGAGCAGTGCTGTCAAGTTTGGTGCAGCTGGAATTCGACAAGGATTCTAATGTTGAGCTAGGTCAAGGGGTCGGGTAAAGGTTCGTGAGTCGTGGCTTACCGAGTGCACCGTTAGCGCAACTTAAATCCTTTCAAGGGGAGTGTGGCTCGAGAAGCACACTGTGTTCAGCGCCTGCATCGGGCAAATCCAGCCACTCCACGATCCATGTCTCCTCCGCGAAGGGTGTGTAGAGCATTTGGGATTCGCCCTTGTCATGCTTTGGTTGGAAGTGTGTAGATCCAAGTGGAGCCAGGGCAAAATGGAGCAATAGACTCAGCAATGACCAACGTGACTTCGCTGTTTTTGATGCCCAACATGTTGTGAGATCCGCAAACCCTCCTCCATCCAGACATTGCCAGATGTCGCTGTCCTCAGGCGGAGATTGAGAGCAAGATGCAGGGCCACAATCCCGAGGCCGAGTGTGACTTGAACCAGACTCGTTTAGCATCCGAGACTTCAGCACACCATGCATGCCACCTGATCCCTGGAGCTTCACCAACTAACGGCTGCCTGGCCATCCATATCTTAAATCCTTGGTTGCCAGAAGCCACGGCACAGCCTAGGTAGAGGTTTAGACTCGTTTAGACCTCTGATTCGGGAAATCAGGCAACAGTAGTCCGCTTCAAAATGAATCCGATCTTAAACCTTACCCTCTAAACCCCATAGAAGCCGTAGAAGCAAATGTCATGTCCGAGGCTCTCTAAGTACCTTCTGAGTATGCCTTAGTCTGTGGCCTTGCTCGGAAGGACGTCGCGAAGCGGGTGGAGCAGGCTCCCGCCCCCGGGTTTTGGTTGACATAAGTTGACCTTGAGAAGCTTGCTCTCTCATGGGTTGCAGGTCTTAAGTGTTGATAGACCAAAGTTTCGGCTGTTTCCCACTGCCCTCAGCGGAAAACCAATAGAGCCTCCTACACAAGACTCTTGTCATCTAAACATGGCTCATTTTACGGGATTTCAGGCTTGTGTATTTCCACAGTCGGCGAACAGTAGTCAGCAGAAACATGGCAGCAGACATAGTTCCAATCTTCTTTTGATGATCTAAGCGTCCCTCTCCATCAGTCATCCACGCTTACAGCAGTTGGTCAGAAGCAAGAGAACGCCAGTAATCATCACCCCTTAACCACAAGTGGAGACGTGACGCCCCCTGTGCCCTTAGCCTTAGCCGTGGCCGGGCTGTGGGACCGAGTGAACCGATTCACACACCAAAACAAATCTGAAATGTGCGACCCATCCTTGCAACACTAGGAAGGGCTCATGTGTGCGAGGTCTGCAGGGGTTAAAAGGGTGGAGGTGGAGATGTACTTCGGAATGGCCATCAATCGCAATGTCAATCAACATAGGACCTCAGTAAAACTCAACAACACCAAGGACGCACGGGATTCTGCATTGAGCATGTCAGCTGTGGTGGACTGGGCGACGGGGGCATCGGGCCGGTGCTGCCTGCAGGTCAAGGAGAGGACGTCACCATTCACGTCGCCTTATGCGTCCTGCAGTTAGAAGTTGCTGCGTTTCAGTGGAGTGCAACGCTTGCTGTGAATGTGATTGCTTAGATTCAAGCTCGAGTCGTCCGGTACTAACTGAGTTTTTTTTCATGCTAGGACTTACAAAGTTTTTTAGTAGGCTTGCGAAGACAAACAGTAGCAGAGGATGAGATAAGCAGATGTCCTGGGTACTGAAGAACGGAAGCCCGAGGCCTGCAGCCCTTCCAGCAGCTCAGCGCGCTTGCTGAATCTGAGCTGTCTCTGAGCCCATTCCCTGGGCTCGGGCTTCGTGGTTTTAGGGTTTTGGATTTTTGGGGATTCCTCGATAATGCTGAGGCTGTAGAGCCTCGGAGGTTTCAGCCGCAGGACCCCTTCACAAGAGCAGAGCCAGCGTCTCTTGGCCTCATAATACCTCGGGTGCTTGCAACAAGGGAGCTTGGAGGATTTTTGTTTCAGGCCCATGGAACAAGGACCTTTCAAATCCACGAACTTAAATCGTTTGCGAGGTCACAGTTCCAGAGCCCTCACCAGACCTCCTTGATACTCCCATGCGCGCCCGTAAGATAAGAGCCAGGCGTCTGACGCTTCTGCTCTAGGTTTGTTGTCGAGGAACAGCGTGCTTTTTCTCAACTCGGGCAAAAAATGAGCCTCCAGGTGCCATGACTGGAGGAGCGAGCACTATTAAGTTTAGAGGGGCTGGCGCTCCAGCTGATTGGACTACATGCTGATTCCGGACTCCTTTGATGCGATGCTGGCTCTTGGATAAGCTTTTGCGTTCACGAACCGCAGAGAGTACAACTTGATCCAAGTGCAACTCGATCCGACAATCCCAGCTCTTCCAAACTAGGATAAGAGTTCAGATTTAGATGGCATGCATTGTGGAGTGCAGCTTCTTAGGAGCAAGGTCAATTTGCGAGTGAGTCCACAGCCCGTCAACGACGAAAGGAGAGAGATAGCCTTCCACAGTGCCGTGGGGGCTTTTTCAGACTTTGCGAAGCCATGTCAACAGCTGACTGCAGCAGCTGACACCGGTCTGCTGGCGTGCAGGCATGCGTGGAACTGATGGATGATGTGGCTTGGCCAAGTGCGTCCCTGTGTCTGCATGGACACCAAAATCTACAGGCGCTCAGAAGGATTTGCGCAATGCTGTCTCTTGTGCTAGCTTCCCGGGTAAGCCCTGCTCACAACGGACCAGACCTAGGAATTGAAATCTGCTGAGATTTTCCTGAGGAAACATACTTCCAGATGTGCTCCTTCTGGACTGGAGAAGGTGGAAGCTTGACATGCGCAACTTGTGTCTTGACCTGGCTGGTTGCTTGTGCCACGGGTGTGTGTGTGTGTGTGTGTGTGCTACTTTGTGCACCCTGAATACTGGTTTTTCTGTTCTAATCCGATTCCAAGCCCTATCGGTTGGGCGCGTAAAGGCCTGAACGCAAACCCCTTAGTAGCTTACCATGCCCCAATTCATCGCTCTAAACCCCAATACAAACTAGTTGCTGTCAAGATTGGGGGAATATCCCTCATCTTGCAGACTCCACAGCTGCGGACGTCCGGCGCTTCAGCAATGGGCGGCTGCTTCCCGGCAAGGCCGAGTCTGGATGTAAGACTACGTTGCATGCAGAAGGCTACAGATTTGGGTGTTTCTAAAGATGATGGGTCATGCATACTAGTAATAATAGTAGTAATACATACCAATGATCTAACTTGAGAGAAATCCTTGGGAGCTTTGCAATGTTGATCGCGCCTGATCGCCTGGCCCCGGGCGTCATGGGGACTTTGTAAGTAGGTTAATAACCTCTACAAGCCACATAACAACCCCAAGTATTCTCATTATTAAGCCATTTACTAAGTCCTCTCAACCCTAAACCCCTAAATAATAATCCATTTCTAACCCATTTGCTATGTCCCCATGACCCTCCAAGCGCTAAGGGGATCCCGGGGCAGCCACTAATCTCTGGCCCCCGGGAGGATGCTATCGAGGCTCGCGGGCTTTTGGGAAACTACAGTGTTATAATAGGGCATATTGGAGTTATACAGGGAATTATAGGGACAACGGAAAATAAGATGGAAACTAATGTAGACTTCATGTTTGAAGTTTGCAGGAACCATTTCTTGCATTTCTTATTGCATCTCAGAAAACATGTTGTTGGTTTGAAGGAGGATTTTGACAAGGATCCAGGGATGGGTGGCTCCATTTTGATAGGCAAGGCGAAGAAACATTCATTGCCAGTGCGCTATGGTGATTATCCGGATAGATTAGGTGGATTCCCCTTCCAGTAGTAGTCAGTATAAGGGATAATGGTGATTATATTAGGGTCCTCATATATTCCTGTTACACCACTATTACAGGGTGCGGGGTCCTCTTAAAGGATAGGCATTTGGATGGATCCTCGCCAGAATCTTTGTGGATATGGAGTGCTAAGCTGGAGAGAATAGCCCTGGACCTGCCCAGTTTCCATGTCATTTTCCATTTCCGTTTGATTCTCCATTCTTGGGGCTATATATCCCTATATATAGTTCATATCGCCTGCATAATCCCTATACAATCCCTAAGAGTCGTATGGTACGTAGCTTCCATTTTCTTGTCCATTATCTCGGAGATGAGATCCCAGTATAGTTTATCGGCGGCGGGCCCAATTAAAAGTTGCCAATGCGTTTTGGGAACTTCAACCGGGAGTCCAACTTGGGGGGTGAAAGCAGCAAGCTCTAAGCCATAAACCCAAGCGCTCAGATTTTCAGCCCAAACCACCAGCCTTCAAGTCCGATCTGCTAGTCTTGAGGCGGCCCACCACCCTGCCGAAAGAAATTTGTCCCAAACCTCAGTGCGAACTGCTAAACCCTGCGTAAGCTACCGACCATTATCCCTATGATCAATTCCTCCATCCCCTGGCTTTGACATATTGGGGTAATATTGGGATAATGGAAAAGAACATGGAAACTACTGTAGTATATTGGGGTTCTATAGGGATAATGGAAAAGAACATGGAAGCTACTATAGTGTCTTGTTAATTGAGGCGCAGAGCGCAGCTGCCGGGCCTCTCGGCCGTGAGGCTCCCCGTGCAAATGGATCGTAGGGATGGTAGTACGTAATGATACAGGAAGTAATACTGATCGTAGTCCTAAA